CGGACAATCTGATCGATTTCTCTTACATTGTGTGCTGAGACTGAAACTTTTCACCTCGGGCAAAGCTTCGTCGCACGGCCCAAACAAACATAGCGAGCAACAGAGCTTGTTGTATATGTGCGTGTTAAAACACACGAAAGGACACTTCACTCTGATTGGGCAGAAAAACACAAAGATTTTCTGGCACCAATCAGATGCCAGAACGACTGCGACCGTTTGGAACTAGTCTTGTAAGACAATGTCCCCAGGGGCTCTTCTGCCCTTAACTTGAAATCGACTCACAGCCCCTGGGTCTCCGAGGATGGTAGTAAGAGTGAATCGAATCATGTAACATACCATGTAAGTTAAGTTGAATGATAGTCCCTCTGAGTGGACGAATCGAAACGATGAAACGACGAGTCGAACATTTTGTCCACGATCTACCTTCATAGGAGTCAAACTCGGAAAACAACAACTCGACCAGAAGTAACGGAGTGCGGAAACGCCACGACGAAACGACGAGTAGAACATTTTGTCTACGATCTACCTTCATATTAAATGTAAACATTTCCGACATTTTCGGACTGACAAGACGACGAAACGAGCTCACGAAGCGATGAGTCGACTGCTAAGACCTAAAGTCGAACTGGAAGTTCGAGGTGTCGAACTCGGAAAACAACGACTCGACTAGTAGTAACGGAGCGCGGAAACGAAGAAACGACGAGTGGAACATTTTGTCCACGATCTACCTTCATAATTTGAGGCATCACCCTTTCTATACATCACGATTATCGGTGACATGCAATGATTTCTCGCCGATTTACATGTAACCACTCTTTAGGAAACAGGGGCGTCGGTTAACAACGAAATATTGCAATCGGTTAAAGTGACGCGACACTGGAAGCTATTGCTTCATGTACAAAGTCCATGAAAATATTTCCCCCTGAAAGCGTTGCCGATGTTTGCAGCTAACGAATTTAGGAAAAGCTGTGGAAAACGGTCGAATGCTAAAATCTTGCTCTAACCATGTATTTTAAGCAGTAAGGTATAGCATTTGCGTTTTTAAGAGTTGTAAGCTCAAGGAGTAGGTCTCATTTAATCTGAGACCTATTCCAACCCAGCGGTAGCGTAAAAAACGAAATTTTAGCAAATTTCAGTTTATCGGACTTACCTTGCGCCCTAATTGGCGACAAATATGTTAACAGTAGCGCCATACAAAATAATACGGAATACTTCATGACGAGAAGATGCGAAGACATCCACTTTATCACTCTGGGTTATTCTCGTTCGGTGTCAAAAACTGAAAAGGCTGAATGTGCAAATTAGACGGTAACGTGGTACGCTTGGATTACATCATAGCAAGACTGCGTTGATTGGTTGGTTTAAATGCTGGTGACTCAGAAGCCAAAACAACAAGCCTAGCAAATTTCTCATATTTCCGGAAATGTTATTTGAATGATTATTGGCACAAATGACCATTTTGCATTCGTGACAGTGTGTGGTGAGTCCGTCATCGATTTCTGTTGGGGTTTTACCGAGACTTAAAAAAAGTTACATCGCCAAGTACTGCTGAAAACAGCACGAGACTAAATATTCGTTATGCTGTTATTGTAATTTGGCATACATATGTGACCCTCCATGGGACTTTAAAGCTAAAGGTGATAGCACACTCACAACACGCTGACACAACACGCTTAGTGTGTCCTACAACACGGATTATGCATAGATTTAACAAAGAAGAGCAAACTTGTTTTGTTTTGCAAGACTTAACACGCTAAATCTTTTGTTTCTCTTAGTGTGCGATCGGTAGCACGCTTATATAGCTGTGTGATCGGTAGCACGCTTAGTGTACGATCGATAGCACACTTTACTGTGCGATCGATAGCACGCTCAGTGTGCGATCGATGGCATGCTTAGTGTGCGATCGATGGCGCGCCCCGTACGAAAATTCTCGGCGAAACACCAGCCATAAAAAATATATGCTAATCAGCGAGAATCAAACATGACAAGTCATGGCGATGATTCGGTTGACACGAGCGAGACAAACAAGCGAGAACTGAGCAAGATCAGAGCGAGACATGTGTGCCGCTGAGCGCGTCTGATCGGGGCATATTCAAGCCCTCCCGTTCGAAAATTTATGGACAGACACGAGCGAGATTCAAGTCAGACAACAGTCGCCCTCTTAAAACCAGCAAGAATCTAGCAACGAATGTTTTTCTCACTATGGAACGCTCGCGAAACCAAACGCGGCCTATGTTTATTCCCAGCCCTAAGACACTCCAAACTTTCTGTGATATTTTAGCACGGTGGAATACTTGGAAATGAAGGCTGAGAGTTTGGAAAAGCTTAATCTTAATTTGGCGAGCGAAACTACAAAGGCAAAGAAAATTTGTAGAAGCGCATAGTCTGTTCATATAAGTACTTGTGACTTTCGCTTGCACCAGCGTGTTTTTAGGTTTCAAATTACAGTTCAAATTCATTGGAGTAAAATCTGCGCGAACACTGGAACTGAATTTTGACAAAGCTGACGCCTGGCTCGTGTTTACTCATAGCGAACACCGCTTTTGGTCATCATGCTATTCACCCGCTTAAAAAAATATTCCTCAAACTTTACCCCGCGAGATTTGTTTTGCGTTTGTCCGAGAAAATATATCTATCAGACAATACGCAAGACTTGAAATGGTCGATGTTTATGACCGAGAAAAAGATCGAAAACAGCAAAGCACACGGTTGGGTACGGTAAATACGACTAAAGACTACTGGTTCGATAAACCAAACAGGCAATCCAACTAGCTTACGCAAAGCGTATAATTTATTCCAATATAATATTATTCGATCTAGAGAAAAGAAATTAAATACATTTGAGAAACTGAACAGGATCTATCGATACATAAACACAAGAGTCAAACTATTAGCTAGATTTGCAGCACTGATAACTTACTTCTGTGGCGATGTCTAGTAGGATTGTTTCACGGTATACAGGTCAGCAACAGATATAACAGATCAGGGTATAACAGAATACGGTTCAGCGCGACAGGTCAGCAAAACATGAAGGTCACTTCGAATCTAAAACATCTGAACTGACTTTAGAGATACAACGCTATTTTTACGTTGTCGATTTTTACCTATCTTTTTTCCCCTTTAACTTGTTCACTGAGCAACTTCTTGGACCAATGTCTAATCCAGATCAAGAAAGGGCACCGACGTTCTAAGTTCGCAGTTTCTTATCAATTGAGTTCTCCCTATATGCATACCATAGTCTCCGCGTCTCACAGAGACCCACTGAGAGCAAAAAAAAAACATACAAGCACTAGAAAATACAGATGTATTTTTTATCAACTGCAAATACCATTTGGATGACTACCTGTATTGACGACAACTTTTACAGTCCAACGCATCCATCAAACATAGCAACAACAGCTTCCATAAAATCATCTCTATCCACATCAGCAACACGGGTCCCTGCGGCACTTGAACTGATACATTTGAGTATTCTCATTACCTGTTTGCTAGATGATGTATCGATTTTATAAGAGAGAAGAGAGGGTTATGGAATCAGCCCTAGGGGATAAAAATTTCCTTATTCATGCTATCACAACTTTTTCCTTTTACGAATGACTCGTGATGTCCGTCAGTGTTACAGACTTAGGAGTCTATGTAAGAAAGACTCCTGTCTTAGATGGACAATTAGAGCCGGTTATTCAAACGAAGTTTAGCCGTCGTTTGACAAAACCAGGTCATAAACATTTGATTAAATCGACCCTTTTATAGAGAAACCCTGAGGCTCACTGAATGCGTAGAACCTCGGTTTGGTATAGAGCTCGTGTAAATAGCTGGCGCCCTGAGAGTCCTTCCTGATCATTCCTGAGACTTCTGTGTGATTAACATGTAATGTCAGTATCAGGATCATATGTTATGCTATTGTGTACATTTAAATCAGCTAGATCGTCTATAAATGGCAAAGACAGTGATGGCTTGATAATACAGTAATATTCCTCGATCGAAATTGGTAAAATTTCAAGCCGGAAGAAACTGCAAAGGCTGTTTGCAGTATGATCAAGATAGAAATCAACCGTAGTAAAATACCTTTCAATTAATCTTTGAGTCTCTTCCTCCCCTCCCCAAAACAAAAGATACGCAACGGACTTCCTGTTTTTCCAGAAAGGATGAATGATTGACAACTTATGGGAATTTAGCATCGCAAAATTCGTGCGTGATCATGCATACTAAGAATAACAATGTAGCGCTATTGGGTGTCAGTTGATTCTGAAACTAAAACATTTACGAAAATAATTCGAATTCGAGGTCTTTTAGTCGGATGAGATATTGACTTCCTTTTTTCCAAAATGAATAGATTAAAACTTCGGCTTTAGTCTATCTTATCAGTGTAAACTTCGCGAGATGGTTGAGTTTACAAAGGGTTGTCAAGGAGAGGTCAGTGCGACGTCAAATATTCTGTTTGTTTTTCTCCAATCATTTATATATTTCTTTCAAGGAAACCTTGAGGGACACAGAAAATCCCGCTAAGGGGTAGCGAAAATGGGTAGTAAACAATCCACAATTCTAAAAGTTTTTGAAGCTGCTCGCGATAGTTCTTCTGATCTCAGACTGATCTTTTAAAGCGGCTCAACACTAAAGAAGAAAAACCGCTCTCAATTCTAAGACCAAAGATGGTGACGAGAATGCAACTCCTCTCATAATTGCCTCTCGAAATGGAAACCTAAACTCTGTGAAGATTCTTTTGAGTTACGAAGCGGACATCGAAGCTCGAGGAATTGTGAAAGCCAACACCGACGAAGCCATCGAGGATTGCTCTCCTTTGTGGGTCGCTGCTGCTACTGGTCATCTAAATGTTATGAAACTGTTGATCGATCACAACGCGGATGTTGACGGCAGAAATGCAACGAATTCTACTCCTTTGAGAGCTGCTGCGTACGATGGACGTCTTGAAATAGTGAGTTGTTTAGTTGAGAACGGAGCTGATGTAAATGCAAGAGATGAATTTGAGAGTACTCCTTTAATGATATCATGTTACAATGGTAACATGGATGTTGCTTCCTATCTGATCGAACAGGGCGCAAATTATCATTTGCAAGACAAGACTGGGGACACATCTCTTCACTATGCTATAGAAAAAGAGCACACTGAAATTGTCAGCACGCTTCTCTCTCGGAGTAAAAGAGAAGCAAAATCAGAAACGTTTGACCCCACTTCTATTAGCCAGTAATGAAGGCAAACATGAAATGGTTGCGTATTATATTAACCGACCAGAATGAACCAAGGAACAAAGAATTAACGCTCTCGAACTTCTTGGTGCTTCTATGACTAATCAGGATCCTGATTCTTATGAAACTGAAAAGGCATTCAGTTACATGAAGCGTGCAATGAAGGAGAGGTATGCGGACCCGTCATGTCCTTTGCTTAAAAGAAAAATAAAACCCGTGAAAGATTATGAAAATAGAACAGAGAGTCAAACTCTTGAGGAACTTTCTCTGTTAAAAGATGATAATCATGCTATTCGCATGGAGGGACTCATAATCAAAGAGAGAGTCCTCGGAACTGACTCTTCAGCGCTTCTGAAAGATATGAGATCCTATGGGACCGTTCTGGCTGACTCTGACCAATACGGACTTTGTATTGGTCTCTGTAAACGAGCGATGGAAATAGCCATGAACTGTGGTGCCCCCATTACCCATGAGCTTCAAATGTTGCCATAGCTATTCATATTAACGGCCCTGGAACATCGGTGCTCGAATGGAAACCACATTAAGGCAGTATTCGAAAAACTGACAGAAAAACTGGAGAGAAGGAAATTGCAAGAGGGGCAAGAAGACGAGGAAATAGAAAAAATGCTTTACTGTATCCTAAGTCTTCTGATGATATACACCAAATTCGAAGTTTTAGAAGATAATGAGGATGAAATGGAAGAAATGATCAAATATGTTCAAAGAATTCTGCGTTTAGACATTCGTAACCACGAAGGAAATGCATTACTGCATCTAGCAGTAGTTGATACAAACACTATGGGAATTGTGTGCAAGCCTCCTTGCGTTAATACCACGAAGTTAATTTTACATGCAGGGTGCGATGTGAATGTCGTGAACATTGAAGGAGAAACTCCTCTTCATTTAGCTGTGACTTTTATGCCGGGAGGTAAACAAGAAGAGACTTTGAAACAAACTCTGGAGATATTGCTAGATATCGGTGCAGATACAAAGCTTGTAAACAACAAGGGTCAAACACCACTGGACTGCTGTGAGAGTGACGTGACTCGAAGGATCCTGTCAGAGAGAGGAGGACTGGGTGCCATGAACGTCGATACCAGAACTGTGAGAAAGTTTTAATTTCGAAGTGTTAATTTGTCCGCAAAATAATTATAAGATTTAATTAAACCCAAATTAATTTTTTCAATCAACATTTCCTCTTTCAGCGTCTACGTTTCTCCATGAAATGTTTTCCTTCTCCTAATAACACAAAGCACTTTTTTCGATGGGAAGGTCTATCAAATCTAATTTTGTACAATTAAATCTAATTTTGTACAGTTAGCATGACAGCATTTCAATTATTTTCTCCAGTTTTCAAATCAAAGAAGCCCAGAACGTTCAATTAAACTGTAAATTGGACTAATAATCATAATAATAATAATCCCATGCTGTTGAGTTTTTTCTTGTCTTTATCGTTCGTTTTCATTCCTATACTATGAAGAGTCAGCATTAAATTAATTATTTTTTAAGTAAAACCGGTGTCGACGTCAGATGATGACCAATATATCCTACTTTTACGCCTCTAGGCGTCTTGTTTAATATAACTTAGCGATATAGATTATGGAATTGTTGGATCGTTATTGACCAGCCGGAAGGTCCGTATTGGAAAAAACTGTGCCCGAGGTCTTGGATACCTTGGTATTCAGTAAGACAGAGGGCACAGTCTTTCCCAGTAAGGACCGAACTATGCTTGTAAACAACATTTAAATTTTTTTCTAACACATAAAAAAATGATTGCCAGAAGAACCCGAATGATTTAGGGCTACAATTACGAGTTTAATTATGGAAAATCCTCCATAAACTTAACAATTTGTGAGCGAGTGGATGATAAAGAAAATAGACGTTATTTAAATTAAAGAGAAAGCTTTCACCGAAACATTTTTATTTGTAAAGGTAACTTTAAAGGCTTCTGAGCAAACTTTGAAACATTTTTTGAAAAGTAACTGTCACGATGTGACACCTGTCAATTAAAGAGGAGAAAAGCAAAGAGTCGGAATGGCTGGCAAATATAGATCCAAGTTTATTAGATGAATCGAAAGAAGAAAAACAGCTAGACGACCAGGAAATTTCTTCATTTATTGAAGAAAATAGAAACAGCAACACGACAACGCGCCAATTCCGTTCCGCTTCGCATACTTCTGTTTCACACTCCCCGTAAATAAATATTCGAAATTCGCCCGCACTGAAATAACAATTTGGCGTGTTGGATAATAAATAACTTATTAGACGTTTTGTTGTGTAGTATCTCTGGGTATTTTTACTCGTTATTTGTATTTTGACTTGCCCTACGGGCTCGTCAAAATACTGCACAACTCGTAAGAATACTCAGCGATACGACACAACAAAACGTCTAATAAGATATGTGTACTGGTACGACAAACACACACGAGTTGAATGACCATGCGACGATCTTCTCGAAAAAAACAAACGCTCGGAGATCTTACGGAAAGTATTGTTCATTTCTAACGACGGTTACCTCTGTTCCGTTTTAAAATGTCTCGGAAAGTCAAATTGTAAGTGAATGTAAATGTGTGTTTTGGAATTGTCAGTCTGTTTGTTTGTTTTGTTTGTTTGCTTGTGTGAGTAAATCGGTTCTTCTTCCACCGAAAAGCTGAAGTCAGTGAGACTCTTTACAGTTAGACACAAGGGGATTTAATCTGACTTTTATTCATCGAATTCCTTCGTTTACTATTGCGAAATTTACGGTAGAAATGTCCAAATTCAAGGGACTTGCAAAGAATGGGCGAAAGTGTATTTATAGAAGAACTCAAAACTTCGCTCAACGTTTCACAAACGAAAAAATTGTGTCTGAGTTACTTTTTGTAACATTGTAACATTAAAATAACAAAATATTTCAATCTTACTAAATACAAATTTAGTGCCACAAAATTTAGTTCGAAATAATTTTTTGCGGAAAAACCAAAGTAATTTGAGAGCGAGAGAAGAGAGAATTCATATGATTTATCGCCAGAAGGTCGCGACCGAGGTCTTTGCTAAAAATTCTGCAAAATGAGATATATTTGTGAAAAATTGCAACGAAGCTTGAGATGTTCTGCAAAGTGAAAAAAGACAAACAGATCTGATCTTTTTTATAGAATGTGGTGTCCATGATCCTGGAATTAGCGACCATTTGATGGTGTATGGAATTCTGACTGAAAGGATCAAGTACCATCAAAGCAAAGTGATTACTTTCTCCGATTTTAAGAACCTTGACACAGATAAACTGAAAGAGACCCTTAGTATAGCACCCTGGCATGTGGGAGAAATATTTGACTG